ACAACTTGGAACTTTAAAGTTTAAATGTAACTATTTTGGATCCACTCCACAGGCTCAAATATATTCATACACCAGCAGTCTCCCGGTCATGGCAGGCTTGAGCCTTTGTTGTTGCTGGGTTGTCCGTCAGCATCCTAACCAACGCCATCTCATCTGAGGGTAACAATCTGGATCTTCTTCCGGACTTTAGCAAAGTGGTGAAACAACCAAAGTTAATAGGCCTTGATCTTGTCAAGTTAACACACATTGTAAAATCTTCAGCACTGCTTATTAAAAGATTTAAGAACATGTATGTATATATTTGAACCTCTATGTATACATTTTACCCTATGTGGATTAGATAGTATCCATAATAAATAAAAAATTGTGCCCCAAAATTCTTGTTTTTCAAAGTAATCAAAGCTGTATGATCTACAATTATTCCCCCCTGGGAAAAAAAAAAAAAACAGTTCAAAGAAATGATTAAAAGCCTCAAATGACCATGGCATTCAGACCCATGATGAGCAACTTCTGACTACCAAGCTATGATTGACAGATTTACAGGTGTCCCAGTGACAGTAAGCCAAAAGTAAAACTACCATTGTTCTTAGTTAACTAATATTACTGTTAATTCTTTCTTTATTAATCACTATGAAGTATTTCGTGTAAGTCTGGAATACATTGAAAATGCAGCTTGAGTCTCCTGTTTCCTGCATTAGCATGCCTTACACTCATGACTTAGAAAGAAGGAACCAGTGGATATGTGAGATTGTTAAGAAAAATGTGTTCATTGTGTTACACTGAGTGCTAACTGAGGAAAGTGGTTGGGTATGTGATCTTCAAGCTGATTACACATGCAGCTGACTATGGTGTATTGATTATAGAGCAAGCGTTTCTTAATGGTGTCTGTGAAGGCAGATTCATGCCTTTTCATACAGGCTTCACTGTGATTGATCACGGACGTGCTTGGCAATACTGTCCATTCAGCTCATACAGCTTGCTGTGATTTCACACCCTTAATCATGATGACACGAATCAATAGTAAGCATGTCTGAGCAGGATTTCAGCTGTTTTGGAGACGCACACAGAGAATTCATATTGGCTCTACCTCTGTCTCACCTATTTTGGTTGCTAGATCAATCATCAGCTCTTTTTTTACGTATATGTATATATATATATATATGTATAAAAATCGGTATAGGTGCCACTTCTCTCTAGTATCGTGCTACATTCTTCTAATTATATGCGTAATACCTTTTAACTGTTTAAAATTATGAAACGCCAGACAAAGGTTTAGCTTTTGGTCCTCCTTTCTTGGCTCTGTTTTTTGCTTTCAGTACACGCGAACTCTCACTTTTGACAGTGAATCACACAAAGACGTGTTCTTTGTCCTTAGACTGAAACTACAAAAAAAAGCGACATTGAAATTCAATTCTAAAAAAAAAGTCACTTTTTCAAAAAGTTATTCATGAGGTTTCCAGATCGAGTACGATCTGTGAACATATGTCCAACTCTACCATCTTTCAATGTAAAATAGTGAACAAATGTTAAAAAAGAGTCCTCCCAAAAATTGCTAAAACAGTTTGAGATCCAGAGCAAATCCTGCTAAAAAGCAGACAAACAAAAACAGAGAAACCAAACTAATCATGTTTCCTTAGGGAGACTACACTTCTTCCATGTAATTCAAATTTAAGATATCGCTGTCTATATATCTTCAGTGAATTCTGCTCACTGGCCCATGTGATAGTTCTGCCCAGCTGTCACAGTACATTCGCAAGCCTTTGCAGATGGCTTTACAATACTGTCGTCTACTGAACCAGGCTTGACGGAAAACCTGTTCTGCATGAAGTTGTGAAGACTAGAAGCCGTCATTAAATATGGAGGGCGATAAGAGTAATGATCTGTCACAGAGAAATAGCCAGAACACAACACTTTCGGGAGGATTACTTCTTCTTACTAATTATAACTAATGAGCACAAAACTGCACTGAAATGTGTGCTCAAGCGAAGAAACGAACAAGCAAAAATACTAGTTAAAAAGGCACTTACGTCAAAACTTTGTTCAGCTTGGCTTGTTTGTTCCCTGCATGAAATACACCTACTTTGGCTGGTCAATAACTTAATTTGGACAGTTTAAAAAGGTCAATTGTTCAGGTGTAAATGGCTTCCTGTGACAGTCTGCAAATTAAACTCTGTTCCTTTCGAGAAAGCAAACGTGTAGAGCATGTCATTGTTTAAACTTAAATCTAAACAGGGTCGAACATGCTAACCTTTAAAACTGCTGTCTAACTGGAGTTCACAGGAGTTTCTGAAATTGAGTCCATTAACTCTGAAATTCATCCACTCAACAGCTTATTCAACCTAGGGTCAAAGGGGGCTATCATTAGCAAAAAAAAGGCTAAAAAAAAAAGGTGGCGTATACTCTGGACGTGTTTTCAGACCACCTCTAACATCCACATTTATGGCCAATTTAGAATCACCAGTTAAAGTAACGTGCATCTGCAGAGGCCTTGTGGGAATAACGCGGGCCCAATGAGAACACGCAAACTCCACACAAGAACGGCCCCATCGACCAGGAGGTCCACACCAGGAACCTTTTGCTGTGGTCAAAATTACAAATAATCCCCAGTTGCAACCCTCAGATGGTAAATGGTAATGGTAAATGGCCTGTATTTGTATAGCACTTTTACTAGTCTCCCCTAGGGACCCCAAAGCGCTTTACACACCCAGTCATCCACCCATTCACACACACATTCACACACTGGTGGAGGCAAGCTACAGTTGTAGCCACAGCTGCCCTGGGGCAGACTGACAGAAGCGAGGCTGCCATATCGCGCCATTGGCCCCTCTGGCCAACACCAGTAGGCGGTAGGTGAAGCGTCTTGCCCAAGGACACAACAACCGAGACTGTCTGGGGCTCGAACCGGCAACCTTCTGATTACAAGGCGAACTCCCAACTCTTGAGCCACGATCGCCCAGATAAATTCAATTATTACATCTTGGACAACCAAATTCCATTAGTGATGATTGAGTGTTTTGATGATAACTGTATTAAAATAACTGATAAAATCAAGCAAAACAAAAAAGGAGACCAATAATAATTCAGTCCTAAAGACCAAACTTATTATGGAGGTGGAATGGTAAGAAAAAAAGTGCTTGGGAAAGCATTAGGGGAGGCTGTAAAACACTTTGACTCAGCAGACCCACTACAGAAAATGAACCGCATAACCTGCTCCTACACTCAGAGAAGCAGCGCTTTAGAGATGTGCATTCCTCTAAATAAAGACATATGTTTTTTTCTTGTTAGATGCCTAAAAAAATACTGCTTCTTTAAAAACAAAAGTGCTCACTGTCTGGATAACATACAGCTGTCTCGAGTGTACTCTGGCATGGTATAACACGCATAAGATGTTGCACGGCTTTGGCAACACAGGTTTTCTTCCTTTTCATGCAAATGCAGATTGTCTGGAATCTAATTTGGGAGAGCGAGGGGGGAAAATAAAGATTAAAGAGATAGAAGAAGAATGGAAGGATGGAGGAAAAAAGGAAAAGAAGTCAGAATGGGAAAGAGGTAGAGAAGAGGGAGAAAAAGAAGAAGGTCAACAGTGGGTGGGAAAGAAATACAGGGGGCAGGATAGAGAGAACAGAGAGGTTCAGGCATAGAGATAGAGGGAGGGAGGCGGGAGTGAAATGGCACAAAAAGTGAATAATCACTCCCTCTCTTCTTTCATCTGCTGGCTTAAAGGCTTAATCTGCCTCCTGCGAGTGTGTGCGCTCATCTGTGTGTGCGTCTGTTTACACGAGTGTGTCGAGGCCCTGGTGTTCTTCCAAAATAAACCACGAGGGGGCAGCAGCTACTCGCATTTAATCGCTTGCGACTCTGCCGTCCAGTCTGTGATTTGCACAGTATGTAAATAAATACTGTTGATGCTTGTGTGTTAGTGAACTTGTCTTACACTTTAAATGTGAGAAAGCTGTGTTAAAGTCGCAGTGTTTTTAACTTCACTTATGAAAGTAGGCACCATGGAGATCGGGGTTGAAAGGAGTAATGCACTGGATGCCACTTTCTGTCCACCCACAGAGCTAATTACTCTGCCATTTTATTCACCCACGCTCAACACTCTGCTAAGGTTTAAAAAAAGAAGAAAAATTGAGAAAGATTAATCAGGAAATTTTAAGAATGAACATTTCCTTCATATTCATATATCTTATTTAGTTTGATGTCATTGTTTTCCCTAGTCACAGCTGTCGCTTTAAGGACAAAAGAGCCTCTGGGTATAAGGATCAAGGTTCCAACATGATTTAATGACACCGCTATACAGCTAAATGTGAGACTGTTTTCCAATCAATCTCCAAAGTGTTTCAAGGCATTTTCAGACTTCCTGCAATCACTTCTGACAGCCTTTTTCTTGGCGGTTGGCCTGTGAGGGCAGGCCTCGTGGACGTGGTGTACAAATGCATTTCAGTGTCCGGCGTGATATGCGTCTGTAATGCTGGCTTGCGCTCTAGACAGTGTGTCGAACAGAGATTACCCTAAACTGCGTCTGGCAGAGAGTTATCATAGCTGCTTCATCATTTCCTCTGTAACAAAGTCAGTGCAGCCTCACCGCCACGCTGATTTCATACCTGATGTTTCAGCTGTGCCAATGCAACCGCGAACGAGCCAGTGCAAAGGGATAGTGTCATATAATGGGACAAAAGATGTCAATACCCAGTTTTTTAACCAATATTAATTAGGTTGTAACAAGCCCGTTTGTCTTCGGAAAAAAAGAAGAAGAATTATCTGGCTTTCCTCTGAAATTTTAATCAGCATTTAGATGATAAATGGATGTTACAACTACAGAAAAATCCATACTGAGAGGCTCTTTTGGCCTCAGAGACAGCTCAGAAAGGATGTTTAAGCCAGGTGATCAGTTAAAAGCTGAGAAAAATCTTCTTAAACTCTCCAAATATATGATTTTAAGAGGGTGGTGCAGCGGTGAGCTTGGGTCTGTACATGTACCTGTGTGTGCACAGGGAACTGTGCTTGTTTGGCAAATGGTGATTTGAAACTGACCGTAGACGTGGGTGTGAAAGTGTAGTTGTCATTTTAGCTATCTGTCTAGGTTCTACTGCGCCTCTGGCCCTATATCAGCTGGGATAGGCTCCAGACACCCTAAGAAAACTGTAAATTGGTTAAGTTGTTAAGAGAAGACCATAGTGTGTATAATTTTAGTGATAAAAGGCAGCATTCTTTAAAATCATAATGAAATAAAGGATGTCTGTCATAAATAGCCATTTTAAATGAATTACATGTAGTTGTAATATATTTATTAGTATGTGGAACACAAACTCCTAACAAAAAATGAGAGGCATTTCATCTATGAGTGTGACAGTGTCAACAAGGCCTCTGCCTGCTGTTCCATAGTCAATGAGCTGTTTGTCAGCTAGCCACGTAGTTAGATTAGCTGTCCCAGACAGTGAAGCCAACAGTGAAGCAAATGGAGCTGAGACAGATGTGAGCTTTCGGTGCCATCATTCACTGTCAAAGCCGCCCGACTTAACATCCACAGCTTTAACGCTGCGGTTCTTATAACATATAGGATGGCACTCAGAGTTTGTGCCAGCTGCCTGGGTGAATGACACTTACCGAGGAAGAGGACATACACAGCACAGATTTCACACCTACTTAGCTGTGAAAGGTGAAAGACAAAACACATTTTCTCCTCGCGTGGTGTGAACATTAATTAAACTATATGTGATGAGTATTAATAGGAGGAGTATAATGTCTGGAGACATAAAAGTAGAAGTGGCACCAATTACTTGTTCCCTCAGTTACTATCCGTGTAAATGAGAAGAGCTGGGCGGTCTGAAATGAGGGAATTTAGGTGCAGGCAAAAGACACAAACTGACAGATGAGTTTTGCCATGTTGAATTTCCAGCCGTGAAAAACGATTCTGTGAATATTTTCATTAATAATTTTGGTAATTCTGGTATATTTTTCTGTGTTCATGTCCATAGATATGAAATATTCTTGCCCTGATATAAATGCAGTCATTTATAGTTATTTTATGATTAAGAGGTGTGACTTTCATTTCTCATAGAACCTAATTCCCACAAAAACAGTTCAGTTTTGTAATTATATATGTGAAGAAAATAATGAAAGCCATATTGTAATGTAAGACATCCAATTATTCCATTAGAGGAAAAGTCCTTGTGGCTGTAATTTCACAAAATCCAATAATTTTTTTTCAAAATCTGATGGCAAACGTTTGTACAAAAAGACAAATATTGAAACAAGCTAATAATATTTGCTCTCTGCTGTAAAGTGTCTTCAGAATTATCAGCGAGAATGAGCCTCACCTTCTCTGCTTTTGGCGCGAGGACGCCTTGGGCTGGGGTGTGCGAGGGGCCCGGCGATGGCGGTTGCAGTGGACTGGCTGACTCTCCGTTGAGGAGCACCGCGGACACGTTCGGAGGCGTGAGGCAGGAGAGAGGGGAGGAGAGGGGGAGGATGGGGCGCGAAGCCGGGGAAGAGAGGGGCGAGGGCCCTAAGCTGGGTCCCGGAGACACCATGGAGAGAGGACGACCCGATTGGCCAGGGCAGCGCGACGGGGAGGAGCTCTGAGAACGAAGGGGAGATATGGCCACCGTGGGGCGTTCCGGGCTTGCAGCAGAGGGACTGTGGACTGGAAGACACAAAGATGCAGTGTGGATTAGTATAAATGAGAGGCCTTCACTGACTGCAGCCGTCACTCGGTATTAGGCCCTGGAGGGAACAAATCAGTGGTTTGACATTGACTCTCACTGAATAATGACTTAATATTGCAGGAGAGGGCTGGTTTTAAAATTGTGTCTCGGAAATAATAGGGCTGCCTGTATCTGTAAGCAGTTAGCATCATTATTACTTTCAAAGTCATCTTAGCTTGTTTAAGATGTACCCGTGCTACCTCACCCCTCTGTCTCCTGATACTCCTCATATACTTGCTAACACTAAATTACTTGATACACTATTGTGTCCAAGGCTCTGGTGCAATTTGCACAGGATAGAAAACATAGAAGCAGTACAGTCAGCCGATTGTCAACACCCATGTTGGTGCAAATATGCAAAGAAGTTGTAACCACTTTAGTTCCTACATGAGAAGTCTTCCAAAACTGCAAGTTTATAATGTCTGTTTAGAAACCAACTTGTCCAACAGCTAAGATAATAGTCATTATAATGTATTACTTCATGCATTTTTAATTATGTTAATTAAATTTATAATGTAGGAAATGCAATTTAACACTATTAGGCCTGAGTTAAGCTGTTAGTTGAAATAAGGGACATTTGGTTCTTGAGAGAATAGATAGAGTGCACAAATATACAAATCCACGACAACATTCAGGCAAGCATGTGAGTGTGTTTGTGTATGCATGTGCACGCACAAATGGACACGTATGGTTGCTAGCCACCTGCTCTTCTATACTGCAGAACAGAGGCAGAAATCCACAGAGAGGTGTACCGGTCATGTGAAAAACCACAGAATGCCAGAGCTATGCGCATACTTTCTTTTGTAATTGAGAACAGATGCGTGTGTGTGCATGTTCGTGTGCGTGCGTGCGTTTGTGTGCGCATATATGCGAGAGGGAGCGCAAGAGAGGGAGAGAAAAACAGAGCGAAAGGAGAAGCTCTGTCATTACGCCTCCATAAAACAAAAAGCACAGTGATGTCATTCAGCTGTGTGTTTTGTGAGTCTGTGTGTTCACTTGTGTGTACGTGTGTACGTGGGAGTGCTCGTGTGTGTATGCGCGTTATTCTTGGCTGTCTCCTCACAGTGTGTACTCTTTAGCTTCCCAAATGAAACACTCACCATTATTTTCTCAAAGGGAGAAAGCAAAGATTCAAAGAGAGAACGAGGTTGATGTGATCGAGACCTTGTATGGACACTGCTGTGTGTGTTTCTGGGAACTGTGTGTAAGGGTGCTTCTGGCAAAAGCAGTAACACTGCATGATCAGAGTGCTTAGAAATGTCTCTGTGTTGTGTGCAGACGTCCAGTGTCTTTATGTGTGAGTGCATGTAGTAACACTGACATTGTGCTAAATTATCCAGCTGAGGTACAATGTGTTCTTGTACAGCCTCTCTGAACATAAACTCCCATCTTTAGTGTTGTTCCTTAAGGTTTATGGGGTAAAATGCAGTGATCGAGTGTATGTGTATGATACACATTAAATAATGTGTTTTTTTCTAAATTTAACAAAAATGTTTTAGTGTCTATATTTAGGTTTTGCTGCTTTACTGAGGACTGCAACCGGTTGCAATCAACATGCTGCAGATACAGACGATACGATTGTTGGAAATGCATTATATTTACCCCACAGCATACCCTCTGGGCCATTTTATTAGGTATACCTATTCAGCTGCTTGTTAACGCAAATATCTAATCTGCCAATCACGTGCAGGCAACTCAGTGCATTTAGGCTTGTAGACGTGGCAAAAACAACCTGATGAAGTTCAAACTGAACATCCAAATGGGGAAGAAAGGTGATTTAAGAGACTCTCAACCAAACTCCCTGAGAGAAACTATCCAGTGAGCGGTAGTTCTTTGAAAATGCTTTGCAGGTGCCAGAGATCAGACGAGCAAGACCAGATGGCTTCAAGAGGACAGGATAGCAACAGTAACTCAACGAACTACAGGTTTCAACCAAGGTATACAGAAGAGCATCTCAGAAGGCACAACATGGCAAACCTTGAAACAGAATACTTTCAAGCAAAAGACCAGAGAAGAGCATCATTCAAACCCCACAGACTACTAGGATGACATGTCCTTCCTTCTGATTGGCTGCTTTCAGCCGGATAATGTGCCACGTCACAGAGCTTACATAATTTCAAACAGATTTCTTGAACATGACAACGGGTTAACTGTACTCAAATGGCATCTCCAGACACAATTTGTCAATCCAATACAGCCCTTTGAGACAGGGTGAAACAGGAGATTCACACCAAGTCTGTCCAGTCGACAAATCTGCAGCAAGTGTGTGACGCTTTCATGTCAATGTGGACCAAAATCTCACCTTGTTGAAGCTATGCCACGAAGAATTTAGTTCGTTCTAAAGGCAAAGGGGGAACCAACCTAATACTAGCAAGGCGTACCTAATAAAGATGATGAGGGTATTTTATGAATGTATTAAAGCGAAGCAGGGTTATAAAAAGAAACCTTGGTTATCATGTTGAATAATAAAAAAATCACCAGCTGTTAAATCAGTGTTTTTCTCTGTCTGGTTTGGGAAAACCTGGGTGGATATGTGCACTTTGTTCATCATTATTGCACAACTGCTTGCCAGCACAATATACTTTAAAAGCCAAGTGTGCACATACCTTTGGATATTTTGTCTATGTGAACGATACTAACTGGGTTTCATTTATTTAGGCACCATTTTTCTTGTTTGCTTTTATTTAGCTGCTGCCAAAAACAATCAGCACATGACTAACAACATGGAAGAAGCTGAAGATTAAAGAGGTTACTTGTAAAACTGCATATGGTAGCTACTTGAATTAATGACTGTTCAATATTCCATTATTCTGTGATCAAAGACTACGGCGCAACAATGCTATAGCACCCCAAATAATCTGGACTTGGCTCCTTTAAGGCTGGAGGCTGCTGCTGAGCAGTTTTACTGAAGCACATTAAAACTGTAAAAATACTGCACATCCCCGTATGATTTCTTTTTACTGAATATTTCTTTGCAGCAAAGATTCAGTCATCTGTCATTTAAAGAGGCTTTAATGTTTCCCCTTCTCCTGCAGAAAACCTTATTCTTTGTTTCTCAGAAGTATACGTCAATTTCAGACTAACTGATTTATCATCAAAGTAAAATCTTTTACCGATCATAGAACATACTGCCTGTGTCAGTTTGTTAGTCAAACATTTGCTTTTTGCTAACTCTGAACTTGAAACTAACAGTCCTATTAGCCTGAAATCTGTAATGCTGCAAAGTAAAGTTTTTAAAGCATATTACATCCTTTGCTGTTACCCTGCATTAAAGAAAAATAAACATGCGATTAAAGCAATACATCTATGTGACTTTTTCTCTCACACGTCACAACATCCCACCTGGATGCAGTAGCCTTAACCTGGCCTGGCAGGCTAGGCTCAGTACAGCTGCTTTTACAAAATGAAGGGGAATGACACTGTTATGCTCTGTTCTCTGCTGTATATAGACCTTTTTCTGGCTTATAGATTGTTCCATAATGAAGAAAGGTGGTTTAGAATAGAATAGAATAGAACAGCTCTTGTCATTATGACAAGCTAACAAAAGCACAAGAAAACAGATATGATGTCTACTCCAATCGTTATATTTGGGTTTAGTACATTAAAATCCAATTAGTAATTTTTTTCTCACAAGAGGAAAACTTCTGACCAAGTAGAAGCATATAGATTTAAAATGTTTCTGCTCACCCAGCTGCATTGAGGTGCGTGCTTGGTTGACCGTATGCTGGCTGGAGCGCAGGCAGTTTTTCAGCTGGGCGGCAGCAGTTTGTGGCGAAGAGGCGGGACTGATGCTGTTAACAGCGTTGGCTGAGTTTACCAGTGGGGTGCCAGGACGGGACGAAGAGGGCCCCGGGGATCCTGGAGACGAGGGGTCTAAGATTTTACTTGCCACCTGACTGCAGCCACTTCCTCCTCCTGGGCTGGACAAACACGAGCTCCGAGTAGCACCAACTCCAAATGGAGCCCTTCAACGAAAAAAGGTGAAAGCGATATAGACTTTTTATTAAATTTATTTTATCATTTAATTACAACTGCTTTCTACGCTACTTGTGACCCATTAACATTTACTGCTCTGAAAACATCAGTCTCTTTCAATACAGTGACTTTTCTTCTAGTGCCACATTAAGATTCATTTCAGTGGTTTAGAGTAAAAACTGTTGAACATATTGCCTTCAAATTTGATGTACCACTGGCCCCTGACAGTCCTCTTCTGTTTATTTGCTCAGTAACTCAAATACGCATTTAATGCTAAGCAGCAAATCGGAGCTTGAAAACCTCACTTTAATGTGGTCAACTCCAGCTGTGTATTCATCTCAAGCTGACTTGAGAAAGTAGCTTTACAATCCAAGACCAGAAGCTATCTCCACGTATAAAAATAAGATGGAGATAGCTTCTGGTTTGAAAAGTAAAGCCAGTGTGGAAGTGCCCTAAACATACTACCATTGCAAAGGAAAATCTGATTGGACAGATTTACCCAATGATATATTAGTTTAGTTAACATCCTTTTTATGGTCTCTAGCTATAGTCTTCTTTAACACAGCATGGTGTTTCCATTGTAAGTTAGCCATATTTAAAGTAAAAACAGAAAAAAAATGAGGGATAAGTCTTTAAAAATGGCTACCCCAGTCCTTACCAACCTGCAGCAACTCTGGGAACTAATTCTGGCCTTCTGGTGAACGATAAATGCAACTAGTTAACAGATAACAGAATTGCCTTTTTCACTAATTAATCACAGTTAATTGCCATATTATCAGAAATTAATTGCATTCAAATGCAAATGTGATCCCATTCAGATTTAAACTGATAGACTGGTAGCAGATTGATAGTGAATGCAGTTTTATCACAATCTTATTGCATCAAAGTCACTTTAAAGACAGCAGCTGACTACAAGTGGTTGCAGACCTGGTCCCTTTCTTTGAAGCAACCATTTCAAAGGCAACAAGACTTTAAGTTCATTGCACGCAGTCACAGTAATTTGGTCATGCTGCAGTCTCTAACCGCTGCTTTCCCTAGTGAGACCGTAGCACAATGGGGAATATAACTGAAAAAACAAACATCATATCATACTTAATAAGCGACCGAGACAATAAACTCATCAAAAGTTATGTTAAATGTTAATTATGAGCCAGTACTGAATCCAAAATTAAAATCTGCAAGCTTCCCTGTCAGTACTATTACCCTCTGTCAAAGTGAAAAATTCCGGTACTATTATCTGACCGGTGGATCAGCACGAGAAAGTGTCCTGCTGTAACATATATGGGGTTGCAGACTGCTCATGTTTCTGTCTGCAGAGTGCTGAATGGCAGAACAGTGAGCTGAACATTATTGACGCAGCGGTATTCACACACTTATGGTTGCCCATCGACTTCCCGTCAGACACATACAGAGTTATGGCTTTCTCTCCCCGTGTGTGTTTTTGCCAAAAGAAACTGCAAAGTTATCCACTGTTTCTTCGACACACTAAATTCAGCTGCTTAAAATGTGTGCTGGGTTTAACTCAGGTCTTTTAGCAGGCGTTTTTGGCCTTGCTTATGAGTAAGTTTGAAGATTTCATACAAAAGAGGATTTTTTTCCCCCCAGTATGAGTTCAAGATCGGAAATTAATCCGGCAGCACAACAATCAAAAGGCTTCTTGGGAGTCTTATGTTTAATCACATGCATTTGTTATGTATACTCACGGTTTGCATTAACCAGGATAATGAATTCCACAACAAATAGGCAAATATTCAAAGTGAAATTTAAATTTGCCAGTATGGGCCACCTGTGTAGCTCTAAAATAAACATGCATTTATGTGTTTGATCAAGTCAGTGTGTTTCTGTGTGCATATCTTTGGCAGCTTCTCATTATCATACTGAGAAATTTCTGAGCTGCACTGCAGACAAAGGGGGATGGGGGGTAGGGGGGGTGTAAGGAGGGAGGAAGGCAGAGAGGGAGAGAGTATGCTTGCGTAAAAATAACAAATTGCCTCTCATTTGATTACTCGCCCATCCTGTCTTTCTCTCTTTCTCTCTTCTTGGGATTGCATAATTACAAAATGTGAAGCAGCCATTCATATCCACTGGAGAAGGACACCTGCTGTTTTTACACCCGCTTCATGTCTTTGTATCATTTTCTTTTGCTTTCTCTTCCTTCTTCTCTCTCCTGCTCCTCCTCCTCACTGTCAATTTCTCTTTCAGCCATCTTCTGTTTGAATTTCTTTCCATAATTCCCCCCCTTCTTCACCTTTTCCTTTGTCAAACCCATTCTATTCCCTTTCAACCGTTTTCTTCTCCTCTCACATTTTGCTTCCCTCCATTCGCTTCCCCTGTTTATCCTGCATAGCCTCATCATGCTCTCCAGCTTCTCATTACCTTCCTCTCTCTCATTTTTTTGGCTCTCTTTTCTTCCATTACTGTTACTGTGCCTTGCTTTCGTTTTCTTCTCTCCTTTTTCTTGACTGCATCATGGAGAGGAATACAGATGAGATATAAAGCAACTGAAAACGTTTTAATGCATATGGGAATAATGAGGGTAATTAAGTTGCAAAATATTTCAGCACACCATTTTTACTGGTTTATTTGTTTTGGACAGCTACGAGAAGTAGCTGTACTACTAAGTAACGACGAGGATGGTAATTATAATAATGACGACAGTCGCAATGATCTACGGTGAGGCTGCGGAAGCCAAACACTAGAACGGTAGAGCCAGTAGTGTCGGACTGGTTAAATTTTATGATGTATTTAATTTAATCCTCACGTAACAACATATAATTTAAATGAATTAATTAAGAATGGATTAGATCAAGATTAAGACATTTTTGCACTCAAACATAACTACACTTTGTTTCTTTTTGTCTTCACAGCAATATACAGTTTCCCTCCAAGCAATGGCTTCCCAGATCATACTTCTGGTAAATGTGCTGGCTCGACCTAATCATTTTGGTGGTTTTTGTAGCCACGTTGGAGATAATATGCACAGATTGCACCTTTCTCCAACTAAAGCCCCCCAAAATTACCTTTTTGGGTGTGCCTTTGTGACGAGAGGCAGTCTGAGTGCAGAGAAACACATGTGCAATTGCCATGCCATAATACCAGGCAAATTGCACATTTCAGTCTGCAACTAAGTAATGACTGCAAAAAAATTACACAGTAAATTACAACAACTATGCTACCATTCACAATGCCTTTGTGAGAGGACAAAATTGGGGTGTGCGTCTGATTTGATTGCAATGCTGGGTACATTAAAAAAATAAGAGGGCAAAAAGGCTTTAACAGGGCATAAAGAGATTAAAAATTGAACTCATGTGCCCTCTGCTCATACTGTGGAGAAATTCAGTTGAACTTACTTGTCCATCTTCGGTGAACGAGGTTAACTGTACTCTAAGCTTCATCACCACAGCTATAACCCTGATATGATTGGCAGTCATAATAAGAGCTGGTGGAATTCTCTAAAAGCTAAGGTGCTTTAATTGTACCTTTTATTACTTCTTTGAGGCCCAGCATAACTAAGACTAATTCAAAAATCAAACATAATGCACCATTTGGGTGTTCGTGAAAACAAGCCATCACCAGGTAAATGACCACTTTTACCAATATGTTGAACCCACAAGTGCACTATAAACTTTATGCTGTCATAAAATCTGCTTGTTAAGTAATTGTTGTCTTGTATGCAGCTCGTTGTAATGTGGATTTAGAAAAGATTATAGGCTCTATTAAATTGATGAAAGTGAAGTTGATGTAGCACAGCATAAGATACTTTTATTGCCTTTTACTTCAGTCACAGAAGCTGAAAGCCTTGCCTTAATAAAGGCTAGACTTCAAATGGATTTTGCACTCAGCAGGAAGCGAAAACATAAATGGACACAAGGGTGAGCATCAAGTCTCGCTGTGACAACCATTTCATTTCACTTTACTGTTTTGCTTTTCAGCTTTGATAATGAAGTAAAAATGCTCAGTGTGGGGCCCCAGTTTATTTAGCTTACATCAAAAAACAAGGTAAGAACACCCGGGGTAAGTATCTCTGTTATCTGTCTTCAGAACACTGTAGTTTTACCACAGCAGACAAGTGGATGGATGGACACATCTCAACAACATCTGTCATTGCATAACTAAGTTGCCAAGTGTTCATGCAGTGGTAGTTTCTTTCACTACTTAACCACATGCATGCAGTACTTTCCGCTCTCACCTGGACACAGGAGTGACATAGTTTCCCGGGAAGACGCCAGAGGCAGCAGTTCTCAGTGACGTGCCTTTGAACCATCCGTCTTGACACTTCTCTGTCACCCGATACATCTCCCCTTTTCTAAGCTCCAGCTCGTCAGCCTTCTGGGGTTTGTAGGCATATAATGCCAAGTATCTGAGAAAGAAAAGTGACAAGCTGCATTGCAAAAGCGAGTCATATAATAAAAATATTTAACTCTAAAGGAAATCTTGAACAACTGTTCACCTAATTATAAACTCCCACTGGACATCTTCTTCTTAAAGCATGCATGTGGATTAATGCGAGTGAACAGCAGCAATTCAATCTTTTAATAAGGCAGTGCTGTTTGGTCCTTCCACTATAAATCACCTGTTTTCGCTGTATATTTAATGTCTGTGTATTACTGTCTCCCTTAGAAATAGAGGGAAGGAGTGGGACTGCAAACACGAACAGTTGTCAACTATTAATAACTGGTTTAAGTGAGACTATGATTATCACCCTAACACTGCAAATAAATATATACATGTACAGCCCTATAATGTAAACCTGCAGTCAGCTGAGATAGAAGAAGTCACTTGGATGAGTGACGAAACGTTTCTCCCACAAAACGCTACGTCCAGATGAACAGAATCAACTTTTGGAGATTTACTTCCCTGGATGATTGAGCATGCATCAAGACGATATAATGTTTTACCTTTACTTATCCACTAATGTGTCTAAGAATAATTTCTGTTATGCAGTTGTACAGTTGTTGAGTACTAAATAAGAATGAATATATTTAGACAGATCTTACAATAGCTTCAAGTTCCTGTTATGACAATTTGAACTATAAGACGACAAAAACACTGTTAAAAAAGAAAACATCAATTTTTTGCATCATATCTAAGACGTAACACCTTTTTTGCATACTTCCTATTTTTACAGGACAACACTTTTTTCTGTCTGAAGGACCAGTGTGACCACTAGAGGTGAATGGTACACTTTGCCATACGTGTCTTGGTTTATGTGTTTACACACATATTTATTGATCAGTGTAGTATTTTGAAATGTCCTAAATGTGACTGTATATTGAGTTTTGTGGGTTCCACAACTACTACATATACATGATATCCCGGTACCGGTGCTGGAGTGCACTCATAGTTGGGTGGTGCCAGACTCCAACAGAAGACGATAATACCAGAAAGTAAACAAGTACTATATATGCTGCCTTCCCGTTTCCATGGTAACAGATGTAGGGACTGTCTTCGGTCTCCCCATGGCAACAGGAACAGTTGCCAGGTCAAGAGGAAAACGTCCGACCTCATCAGTAGTATGAACTCACTCCGGATGCACGTGTGCATATTGTGTGCGTGTGTGTGAGAGAGCGCACGTCTGAGTGTGTACCTGCTACTTGGAAAGTGATATTATTAAATCTGACAATGTTGCTGTATTTGGCTCACATCCTGCAGGAAGGACACTGGTTAATAGTAAACAGCACACACACAGGCCATCACACACACACACATACACACACGCGACACACACTTCTACTTCTATACAAGTGAAGATCTTCACTGGTGTAATGTTGTTCTTGGCACAAATGTATGGGTTTCTTTTTTAACACAATATCTTTGCTATTTGTTTGAAGAATGATTTATAGTAATAATAAAACAAACAAGCAGATACAAATAAATCCAACAAAATAATACAATAAAAAAACAAACCCCCTAAAGGTCCCAATTCCCACTGACACTTTAAAAGTTATACCAAAGTAAACACTTTTGCTGTGGTTTACACTAAATAGTCAGTTTTTCTGTTCGAGCCCAAAGGTTTCTCTTTTTTCACCCTGAAAAAATAACGCTATTATCGTTTTGTAATTTGAAAAAATATTGAGTTTCATTAATGTTTGTCCATTGTTATTATACCATAGTTCTAATTCTAACCTTGTATGCCGCGCAGACTAAGCATGTGTCCTCACTTTCCAAAAATATCCTCACCCTCAAGGTCTCACTCTCAAAATTGGTCCATGCAACAATGGAAGCACAAGAGAACAAGCACATGCTCACCTTGAAGAGACCTTTATTTTCCTAGTTAATTTGTAGGTTAGTTATGTGGTAAAACTAGGTTAGCAGTGGCACTTCCCCAGGACTGCTGACCACCTAAATTTTCCAAAGGATTCAATGTAGTTTTTGTGTGTTTGTGTAAAAATAAAGTCTCCAACTGCAGCAATAAATGAATTTATCATGCACATCCTAATGCATAACACCTCTTTTTATGTTGCAATGTATGCAATGTTAGTGTGATAGTCATAGTCTCACTTTTTATGTCATAATCTTTATGACAGAAATCTTTTTTGTGTGCATCTCTCATCCCTCTTGACATGGTCATCCTAATGAAATAACAAAAACCTGTACAGTAAAATGCTGTTAAGAGCCTTGTCACGAAACACTGACGTAAGCATCGCACAAGTGAGGAAATAGCATAACAGAGGTGCAATTTTCCTTTCTGGGGAGAATTTCATCATTGACCAGTGGAGGAGCGAATGTGCAGAGGTGGTGGAACACGGCCAGTATCTCAGAGCACAACAAAGGAAATATTTTTAACGCTGCCAACAGGCGGCTTGTGAAATCAAGCTTGGATCTGAGTCGCACGTATGCTGTGATAAACAGGGCAGGTGGAAAAAAGAGAAAAGAAAGTCACAGCTGGGTGAACTCACAGCACTGAGGCATACTCACATGTTGAGTGGGAGCTGAACCTTGGCATGGGCCAACAGCTCAGAGGTTATGGATGCCACTTTGGGGGGCACCAGCACCCCTGCCGAGGAGGGAGATGGACCTGGGGGAGACGCATCCTAAAGAAATGCAGAAAGATATACAATGAAAATGCCTACAACCCACATGCAGATTTACAGTATACATGCTGAGTATTATTCACAGAATACAAACTGAACCCACGTCTAAATACAACCAGAGGCAGTATTTGCAAGAGCAATGCGTCTCTAGTGAAATGCTGTAAATAAGAGAAATGATTTTATTTACATGGAACTGGACGGGTAGGTGATTGGGGAATAAGTTATTAAATCTAGAGTAACGGAGTGGCTGAAGTGAACTCTGATTTGTGAAATGCAAGCAATGCCTTAGAGGTGAAACCAAGGAATCAGCAGGGGCAATACACTGGCTGATATTAGTTCCCCGCAGATATATATGTCAAGCAAGGTATTTGTTGACTGTTTAACTAGAAAGTGCACAAAAAATCCAAGTGATTTTCACTATACACTTTTTAAATACAAAACAAGCATAGTACTTGTACATAATGGGGCCACATTACATCTAATTAAGTATTTTTTTTATGCTCAAACTGATTTTCCCTCATATAAAAGATCTGCTGCGTTCTGTAATTATGGGGTCTGTGTACATCACAGCGTTTGCATGCACCTGGATGCGTGCAGCCGCTCTGGGGTCAGAGGAGCTGATGAGGACTGGGTGGGAGATCTCCATGCTGTGTCTGTTGTTGAGCTGGGCAGCCCTCTGGCTGACGGATAGAGCGGTAAACGAATGGCGCTTCTTGGCGTTCTTCTTTCCTTCGCCTCTCCGATGGCCAAAGCCGTTTCCATTAGACGGGGACGCGCTTGGGGAGGGCCCGGAAGGGCAGGGGCCCAACGGGGCCGGCTCAGAGCTCGGACCCGGTGCATTAGCTGGTATAGGTTTGTCAATCTCCATCAACTGCTTGGCTGTTTCATTTAACTGCGAGGAGAGCAGAGGAGAGGAGAGGGGGAGGGAACTATGAGAGAGAAGACGTTCAGGTGTTCGATTTCAGACCTGAGTGGTTCAAGTACATCTCCAGTACATTCAAGTGTGTTTGTGTGGCTCTCTTGCTGCTTGTTCTCGCTGGCAGCTTTTCAAACCAGCAGCACAAGAATCATCACTTACAACAGCAGGTCTGGTGAGACTCCCTCTGTGTAACACTCTGACAGTAGCTCAAACACACAGATACTCAAATAACCCACAGAAAGGTAAGCATTCACTTTGCTTGCCAGAATTTACTCCTTTTCTTCTCACCAATAGATGCTCTTGTACATTAAATGTTTCAAACGTTTATTTACAGAGTATTTCCAGTAAAAACAATTTTTTTTCGGGGGGAAGACACAATCAGCCTGATTCACTAAACAGGGGACTGACCTGCAGAGTGTGGAGGCCATCTCCAAATAGCGCTCATAGGTGTCGTTAGCTGTATGGGTAATTTACAAAAGCTGTGTTGTTTTCTAAACACAGGTGCAGTCGGCTCATTTCAATATAAAGCACAAAAAATGAGACATGCTGCTTTTTGGTGTTAAATATTGGAACAATTAGCAGGAAATTATGTGCACAATAAATCACCTACTTTGCACTATTGATTTAAATATTATCCTCCCTATAATTTGCACCTTGAAAGAGGAATTCCCAGAAATACGTATGCAAGACGGTTAGTGGCAAAACCCCAGAGTTTCCACCTTTTACACGCAATCTTGACACTGCACTCGTTTGTAAATACCATTTTTCTGTTGTTTTGGTAAAACATCCTTTTAAGACATGGCAAAATGAATGAATCCGAAACCTCATTAACTGGGTGATTAAAAAAAAGGTTGGCTCTGTGACTCTAACATCTGGTCAGAGCTCTGGATTTTAATAATGTGTCAATTTTATTTATTTATTTATTTTTTCAACCAGAAATCGATGAGAAAGAAACACCTACTTTATTTATTTTTTTTACTTTAAGGTAGAAGACGCAGGTTGTGGTCTGTTTACAGACAGTGTGATTTACTGGCAGAGGAGAAGATGCATCATTTTGTTGAGGTAAAGAAGGGAAATAATTCGAAAAAAATAAGCCAATAAATTACGAGTGCAAAGTATCAAATTCCAGGTTCCCTTACAGCTGATAAATAATTTTACTTATTAAATCCTGATTTATAACAGTTACACATGCGATACACTATATAATATAAGTATTAGACGTCTAAATTATGGATCGCTGTGCAGGGAAAAAGCACCAGTATAGGAGGTAAAAGCACCTCTGTACTTCTAATCAATCTTGATTATTTGTGGTCAGGCACTGACCCGCAACAAGAAGTTTGTTGGTGTAGTCCTGATCATTGCCGTTTCATACTGTACTCAGTATGTATCATATTATCACCGAAGGAGCAAAACGTGTTTATCGACATAAAAAAGTAGTGAAAATATGAGAATGAGTGTTCCATAGAAATTGAATTATATTATGTTATTATCTGCAATACTTACCAAGCGTTGGAAAACCCCCTATATGAACTAATCTGATTGTGTTTTCTATGGACGTGAGCACGTATTTGATCGCAAATGGGATTACTGAAAGGAACAATTAGTATTTTTTTGACCATTATGGAGCTCTGAGGTAGATTAAGCTGGCAGTGAAGTTGTTTTACTGTCACACGTTCCTTGTACAATCCGATTAGTCATCCAAGCAATCATTACAAGAATCTGCCGCTCATTAATTCTTCTTACTCCGGTGCTTACGCTGCTTCTCTTTGTTACTGAAGTACCTGTTGCTTGCAATTCAACCTCCCTTCACCTCACTCAGACGGAAACCATGCAGCTTTTACATAAATACTATATACACATTATAACCTGAGTATTTCACTTTTGTTACCTCAGTGAAAGTCTAACATTTCCTCTTCACATTTTTCTTCAGTGTAAAGCAAGGGTCTTTAAAGTGCTGCCTACAGGCCAATGGCAGCCCATTGTTACATGCTGTGCAGCCTGCAAGCATGCCAAAGAAAGAATGTACATGTACATGTAGTTCATCGGCACTTCATGCCAAATTAAGGTATGACTTGGCACAGAACAACACCAAAGGAACAACTCCTTTCAATTTTAACTCTTGTATTCTAGTCATCAAAGCAGACTGAATATTTAAAACTTGCTGGGCTCAGAAATATCTATGAAGCAGTGAGTTTCTAACAATAAATGTCTGAACAGAGAGATGACATATAAGCTGACACATCTGATACATTAACAGACATCGTCAACCTTGGCATCCTCCAACAAATTCCCTGAGCAACCCCTGGAGAGATACGTGTGGTATATAAGTGTGTGTGTGTGTGTCGGGGAGAGAGAGACTCAGACAAAGTGTGTACAGGGCCGCCCTGTCTGGGTTCAGTGTTGGTGATGTTGCATTTCCATTTTAATAGATATGCTAATCAAAGCCAAATCATATGCTAATGAGCATGATGGATTGATGCTGCAGATATAACTCAGTTTGCTCTCATGAGGTTGACTAGAGGACACACACACACACACACACACACACAGAGTCAGGAATTCATCCAACACTTTCACTAAGTGACTTACACAAACACATTCCAGTTACTGTCTGTGAATGCAACAACTAGACGGATACACAGACACACATACACTTTCAGCTTTTCCACTGAAAATGGCGCATTAAATGACAGAGGTGTGTGTAGGTGTGTGTCTGCGTGTGTTTGAGTGAAAGTGACAGAGTCAAACAAAAGAGAGCGAGGTTTTGATAGGCGCAGTTCTTCATTTGGTGCTTTTGGCTGAATGAAATCTCCAAGGTCATCTATTATGTGTTGAGCTAACTGTAACGTGTGCCTTTTGGAGAGTCAGTTCCTCTCTAGGGGTAATACTGAGACTCGAGCTGATGAGCTGATATCTGCACTGGAAAAGGGTAAGCCAGCAGGACACTTGCATGTACTAGCACAAGCACACACACACACACACAGACACACACGCAGAGAACTGGTGGCAGACATGTGCCAACTTCCTTTTGCTGCAGGGATACATAAAAGTGGAAACTCTCCACAACAAAAACAGAACAAAACAAAGGAAGTCCCAAAATGTCTCCCGTTACCATCATTAAACTTAAATCAGTCATAGTCATTTAGCACAAACTTATGCACACTGAGCTCACATCTACCTGAAACCACATCAGCTCCTTCAGCTCCTGCTGCAAACTTACACAACACAGACCAGCCCACTCATTATATATCCACTCAAAGTCATGTCGGGTACAGTATATTCAAATGCAAAGCATATCTACTCCTTTACATCATCCACCCTACTGTTTTCAAACATTCAGGACCATCCAATAAATCCACCCAAACTTACCGAATCAAGCGAATCACAAATTTAACGATACATTTCCTGCAGTCAGTAAAATTAGACAGTTCCTGTCCTCTTGTTTTAATTCTCTTTTCAATACAGTTGAGATTACAAATAGAGAAGTGGTGATGCAAACTCTTGCATAAGCTCTGAAAGACCTACAGACATTATCAGATAACACGTATATAATGAAAAATTAATTATTTTGGCATGGCTCTTAACACGTGAAATGTACTGACACGAAAAGATTAGAGCACCCGGCTCTGCACGGCTTCCCATGCAATTAAGCTGTTTAAAAGAATAGTGTCAAAAAATAACACCCTTTCCCTTTAGGGGAGATCTACTAATGCAGAGGAACCCAACAAAAAACTCAAAGCTTTCTGGCAAAAAAAAATGTTGGTACAACTTTTGGTGCAAACTGGTGCAACATCAACCAGCAATGCAAGTGATCTGGAAGTGGTATTTACTTCATATCCAGTAGGGCAGACACACAGGGATCTTAGTATACTAAGTCAGCTCATGTCTGGCATTAGAATCTATCTCCACACGGTTCTTGAGTGACCTATGATTGAACCTCACCTTCCCACCTCTGTATGTGAAAACACAAGCATATTATTTCTGTTTGTCAAGCTCAAATAACAGAGTCACGCACAGGTCAACGTTTGCAAATGCACACTCTATCTGTATAGTATAAAAGACTTCAAGAACCAACCTCTTACCCACAATTATTTCCAAGCAAATCTAAACCAGCTGTGACCCTTTAATATAAGTACCCGAGATATTAAACACATCCACCTCAAACCGCTTCATTTTTACTAAACACTTTGATGCCACCATTTCTAATTCACTCTAAGCTTCTTTTAAAAAAAATCTGCTTTCTGTTATCACAAAAAGTTACCACAAATCCCAGTAATATCTGTTATAACCCAACAATATGAGCTAAATGGGCTGTAATTTTTTCTTGAGCCAGCGGCCAACAGCCTTATGCAAAAACAAATAGCTAATGACAAGCTGTGGATAATCAAGCAAGTGCAGGACTCTGCCAGACGCACTGCTGCTTTGCACCTGCAGTAGGCACGCCACTTGAGTAGAAGGTCCTTTTAAGTGGCTCGCAATGATGTAGCAACTGCAAAAACAATTTGCCCATATGTGGCTCACACCACCTCTCAATGAGGTCTGAGTGATGGGATGTTATTGCATCTTTGTTGCATTAAAATCTGGAGCTGTCTACTTATGATTGGATCACTCAAAATTAATGTTAATACCTGGTCTGAACAGGGCCACAGATCGGCAGAGGCTCCAGCTGGGTCCTCCTTATTGGCTTTTAAATGATGAC